GATACCCGCATTAATATTCAAGACAAATCATCTTGAAATGTTAAAATAAAGGACTGATCAGGATTAAACTCAGTAGTTCATCAAGTTCATCAGTCTCGGGCTTCTGAGTTTTCAAACCGTTGGACGAAGGAAGCAAGGTTGTCAAGCTTGTCTAGAGGTATACGGTGTCTCTTAGTCTACATCAACCTGAAGAAACACTCGGATCATTGAACTTGAAATGTATTTATTTTCCTTATTTTCTCTTCCTTTAGAGCTAAGAGATTACAAGTCTTTAAGGTGGCAGTGGTCTCCCATACATTCTATCGCAGGTACATTGTGATGTATTGTCAAAAGGCAATTAACGCCTCTAATCTCAATAAGTTAGAGGAGAATAAGTTGATGTTGCAAAGCGAATTCAAGGGGAGATTGATTCTCCGTTTCCAAAAAAATTCTATTATGTGCCATTGGTGTCTTTACATACTATATCGTTCATTATCTCAAGTGCTATTTTTTCTCTACCAGATATTAAACTGGGAATAAAAGATTAAGTGAAATGAAATCGTTATTGCTACTGCTTCTTTCTGATAATCTGTGCGAACTTACAGTCTAAACCTAAGCATTACCTTCACTTTGATTCTTAGACACTTTGATTCTTAGATTAATTATCAATCACAAAGTTATAACTATTTATCAATAAACTCGAAATGTGTTTTTGCTTGCCTGTTCCTGTTTCCAGCAATTCCTTCCGGCTTTTTCACTGCTCCGTTGCCGTCCAGGAACATCGGTCTTAACCAGAGTGAGCTTGATTTCAAAAAAGAGTTCTTATAAGTTTTTCCCTATAAATTCCCAATCGATTCCTCTTACTGCTCACAGGTTCACCTTTATCCAGTAAATGTTTAGCGGAATTGGTTTTGCTTGATGTTAGGCGTGTGGATAATTTTATCTTCAAAAAAGGAGGTTGCTATCAGATAACATTTAAGGAGCTACGGCTGTTAACTCGTGATTCATCAAATAGTAATATCAGGGTCATCTTATCTAATTTTAGCAACAGAAAAACAGAAACCGAAGATGACGTTAAATGAGACCGAGGTGGTTATCCTCACAGTCCTGTACGCCATCACGATGCTCGTAGCATTTGCAGGGAATGGTTTCCTCATCCATATCGTGTGGAAGAAACCTGAAGTAAGATCGCTGACAAGCTTCATGTTCGTCAACATGGCCATCGCTGATTTGCTGGTGACACTGATTGTGATGCCCTGGTCGATTGCCCAAGTACATACTGACGCCTTATGGATGATACCAGGAGTATTTGGAGAAGTCATGTGCAAAGGTGTGGTATACATTGCCTATACCACATTAACAGCGTCCATCCTCTGCCTGACATTCATAGCAGTCGATAGGTACTATGCCATTGTTCATCCCTTCCGCCGCTATCTTTGGTTCCGAAAGCCTAAACTGACAGTACCGTTTATTTGGATCTTGTCACTGGCCTTTATGTCCATTTTCCCTGTTGTTCAAACCGTGGAAGACCACAATTCCGAATGTATGCTATCTGTTTACGTTTTGGGTGATCCATTCAGGGCCCTGCGAGGGATATTCCTCCTCCTGGTAGTGGTCAACTATCTGATTCCTTTGAGTGTTATTTCTGTCATTTATACTGTTACCGCACGGAGGTTATGGTTCCATGTTGCACCTGGAGTGGAACATTTGACAGGAAACCGAGAGCAACTCGAAACCTCGAAGAGGAGAGTGGTTAAGATGCTCATCATTGTTACCTGTACCTTTGCCCTTTGCTGGCTCCCAGCACAGGTGGTCCACATGAT